TTAGGTTGTTTTATTGACCTTGCTCGCATGAGAATTCATAAAATGTTGAACCCTCATTTAAATAAATTAAAAAAAGGGGGGCGTCTATTCTTACATTTCGGTTTTGCACCATAAAAAATACTATACATTAAATCTATATTTGCTTTATTTACTTACCTATGGCAAATACTGTGAGTGAGATAGAAACAAACTTGATCAACCCTGTTTGGCTTTTGAAGTTTATGAAGCCATTAGACAGTTATATTGCCTTCCTTGCCCATTAATGTAAAAAGTGTCGCACATCAAAGGTTGATAGCTGTTATTAAACAAAGGAGAATATGAAAAAATAGCATTTTCATGTATTTTTACACCTTGAGCACCTTTTACTTTTATATGACTCTTTTATATTCCCTTGGTAATCTTATGAAAAACATCCCTGTTACTGCGACTTCCATCAAAAAGCAAAACATCGTAAAAAAGCAGTGTCTCTCTGATGACCTTTTAATAAAACAGATATACTAACAGAATAGCTTTGACATAACAATAAATTTTGGCTTGCTTGTTTTATATAAATTTTAATAAAGTTATTGTATTTCTCCGGATGTTTTCATGTAAATGCGTTTGGTATTTATTTTTGTAGTTTTCTTCTTTCAAATATAAAAAGTTTAATAAAAAATTAAGGTAAAAGGAAAATCGGAACGTAGACATCACATAAATACATCGAGACTTGGCGGATCCTCCTTTGTATTTTATTCTCGTTCGCCAAGGAATTCTCATTTGAACTATTTTGCTGTCATTAAACCAACGCAATAACATTTAATTTATCAATATTTACATAATGCATTTTAAAAATAACTGAAAGAACAAAGTCAAGAATATTAATTATGTTTTCAAAGCGGACCATATCCCGTAAATGTTATACATAATTGGCTAAAAATATAGATGTTTTAAAGCATATTCAATAAAACACATCCAATAAGCCAACAATAACATCAGGTTTAATTAAAAAAGGGGGAAATTACAAATAAAAAGCTATAGACATTTTTGGCATCATCAAAATACCAAAAGTCACCTCTCAACAGATGTACTTTTTTCAAAATTTAGCATTTTTTTAATTGTTATGTTTTTTGTAATCAAAATCTACACAAATTAATAAACTAAAAATCCTCAATAAGATTTATTTTTGATATGGTCTTCAGTTTATGTTGCCTCGTCTGATTTTTATTGCTTCAATACTCCAGGCTGTAATGCTCTTAATCAATTTTTCTTAAAAAAGAAAAGTAGATTGATTACGAAACCAGCGGAAAGTGGCAAATGTTAATTAAATTTTCAACCGAGTATCACCATGGAAGTTTCTGTCGCCTAATTAGCCAAAGTCACTGTGCCATGCATCGTTTTAATTAAAAAATAAGATTTGAAGTAAATTTATTCGTACTTGACATTGTTATTAAAAAAAGTTAGGAAGTTTAGTATCAAAATTAAAATACTTAAGGGTATAGAAGCCGCAATATCAAAACAGCGAGACTTGGCGAACCTCTCATTCAAAAAATGACGTTTTCACAAAATCTTTTAAAAAATCTATATTGATCCATTAACTAGTTGAAAAGAACTTGTAGAAAGTTGTTTGGTTTTTAATGGCGTTGAAAAGAATATGGTTATGACACTTATAACTAACACCTTGGCAGTTTTGGTAATTGGATAAAAACTTATAATAAAGCTTAATAAAATTATTCGTTGTTAATCGTTGATAGAAAGGATAGAAAATTCACAACACTCCAATTCCCAAATCTATGCAGTTACGAGTTTTTGTGCAAAAGAGTTGAAAAGAATAAGCGGAAGAGTGTTATGAAATTTCTCACCCTACAGGAACACCCAGAAAGTTTTGATGTCTTAATCGGCTTAACAGGCTTTGTCAAGGTTGGTTTTAATTGAAAAAGTAAAGAAGTTCCACTTTTTGCAAAATTAAAGGTAAGCTAAAAATACTTTGGCAGTTCTTATATCAAAGACCGGAAGGCGATAGAGGGGCTGACAATAGACCGGAGACGTTTGGAGGGCAGTGGCCTTTACAAAGGAATCCCCCGAGCTCCTGCAGATTTACTATCGTTTTACTTATCGTGGGCGAAAGGGTGGTTTTTGGCGAAAGAGGAGAAAAGGGGATGCTTGGGTGGGCCATAAACTCGTACGCCCCCACGGGCCAGTTCTAAATCGTATTAGCGACTTTTCCTGGACGTCTTCCACCTGACAACTGTTTATACCGGCTCGCATATCATCCCCGAGCCTTGCGAGACGCCGGGGTGACTTTATTACTTTCCGATGGAAAAATACGCGCTGGGCTTTTTCCCAACCGTAGTGCTTTTACTCACTTTCACCTCCCAAAAACAAAAGGTCGAAATAAAGTAGAAGAAAATAAAAATAAATTATTTTTATGTATCACAGTTTGACGAAGAAATGTAATCTCATGGTTCAACTGAGGTTGGATCTCAAAGGGATAAATACGGTCTTAATTGGCAAAAGAAAATATTAACAAACCTTAAAAAAAACCTTATTATACAAGAAGTTATAAAATTTACAGATGAAAATTGTAAATAACCTGGGCTAGGGATCGACCCTAACAAAACAATAGCAAAATGAACCTAAATATTTAGGTGTTATACTAGACAAAAGATTGGTGTTGTAGACCAGAAATTCTGTTCTGGATGTACATAATTAAACTGCATCCAGAGATCGCCACCAGAGCATTCAACTTAAACATAATTAAATGGAGAATCGTGCTGAATTCAAAACAAAACCAGACCGATTATGTGCGCAAAAGAAATCAGTTCAGCTACAAGGGCATAGAAGTAGGGGAAAACGAAAAAGCAGATGCCCTTGCAAGGAACCATTCTTAAGGAATCTTTTTGTAGTATTTGTAGTAATTTTTGAAGTTTCTCAAGGGTCGCACGTAGGGCCTTTTCTTTTTAAAATCTATATGAACGATATCTCTGATTCTCTTCCACCTGCTATGACCCTACTTTTCACAGATGATTTAAAAATATTCTTAAAAATTAATTCTTTTTGTAACTGAACTTCAACATCCCTTAGTAAAACTTAAAATTGGTCCTCAACTAATAATATTCTTTTAAATTCTGACAAATGTTTATTTATGATTTTCCATAAAATAAAATATCCTATCAAATTTAACTACGTTATATCAGAGACTTATTTCGAGTCACATTTATTCAAAATGTGTTATGTTTAGTGACTGTTACTTGATGATTATTTGGAGGTCGTGAGATGTGGTCTGGTGTGATGTAGGTTTAGAAAAACATTTTCTTTATCTTGCCAACGTTTCGATCTTTATTGAGATCATCTTCAGGGCCTGGGATTTATAAACAATGATAAACACAATATAGAAATTTTAAGTTTGATCGAAGTATTTGTATTCATTCAAAGGGTGTGTTTTCTGTGTAGATGTGTCATTGTGTGTCGTGTTGAGAGTGTTAGTTATTATAAATAAAAAAGATTAATATCTCACTAACACTCTCAACACGACTCACAACAGAAAACACACACTTAGGGTGAGTATAAATGCTTTGATTAAACCTAAAATTTCTACATTGTGTACATCATTGTTTATAAATCCCAGGCCCTGAAGTTGATCTCAATAAAGATCGAAACGTTGGCACGATAAAGAAAATGTTTTCTAAACCTAAATCATACAAGACCGCATCTCACAATCTCTAAATAATAATTAATTAAAGGTCACCAAATACTACACATAGTTAATGATCTTGGCATCATTATTGACAGTCAGATAAACTTTCACACACACACATTAATGTTTTATTATTATTTTATTATTGCCAAAGCAAATAAAACTTTAGAATTTATTAGCTGTCATATTAAACCTTTACATGATCCAGATGCATTTAAAATTTTATACACTTTCAATCCACCCGTATCAGTCGCATAAAAGCCGTTCAAAAATTATTTTTACGCCTGATACATTACAGAACAAGCGGAATATACAGAGATACATCATGTTCATCGCTAATATCGGATCTGAGGGGCGTCGGTGGCCGCAACGGTTTAGGCTCATCACTGTAAGGTAAAGGTCCCGGGTTCGACTCCAGCGGCCCTGCATTCGAACCCGACATACTTACAAATTTTTTCAAAAACACCGGCACCCCGAGGACTGATATAACCTCTGCTGTTGCAAACCCTCGTAAAAAAAAAAAGAAAAAACTATCGGATCTGAAATTGACGACTGATCTGACAGAAGGAAATTCTTAGATTGCATATTATTACATAAATTAACTGATTGATCATTAATGCTTAACCGAATTAACTTTTATGTTCCATCTTATTATTCCAGAAAATATATAACATTCTCCATTGATTTCCATAGAACTAATTATGCAAATTAGGTTTTACACCAAGAACACAAATATGGTAAACTCGTTAAAAAGTATAGATATATATAATGTCAGTTTAAGTAAATTTAAACAAATTTTATCATTAGAAAATTAAATATTGAATCATTATTATATTGAATTAATATTGATTTTGGTTATAATTAATAATTGATAATTACATAGATTTAATTAATTTTTCAAATTGTTTCAATTCATTTTAAATTGTGTTATTTTTTTATTTTTCATTATTATTATTGTATTAATCCATACATGGTTAGTGGTCATAATTGATCAAATTAATTAATTTAATTAATTATTCTTTTTATTTAAGGTTTTTGGTTGAGATGAAAAAGTTATTGTCACGAGCGGGATTCGAATCAATGAACTTTCGGCTCAATACGCTATCCTGACACAATAGCTCAAGTGGTTAGAGCAGCGGGGTATTAAGCCGAAGGTCGTGGGTTCAAATCCCGCTCGTGATACTAATTATTTCATCTCAACGATCTCAACCAAAACCTTAGATAAAAATAACAATTAATGAAATTACTTTTTTAATAAACATTTCTAAATTTATGCACAGTTATAACCTTTATAATACTTTTAATGTATACATTTGTAATTAGGAAACAGTGAAATAAATAAATATATACTATCAGCGTCCATCTGAGGAAAGAAGACACTTTGAAAACAGGGATACTATGGAATTTACTCACTGGACGCAAACAATTACAAAAAAGAAAAGAAAAAAAGGCGAGATTTGGAAAGAAAATTGGAAGAGACTCCGAATCCTATCCGTCCATTGCGGACTAAATAGACCCTTGAAGAAAATTGGTATCAACTGGTACAAGCAAATTCTGCGAAGGGGAAGACATACATACAGACATACATAGTCGACTGTGGGGCTTCACTTATCCGCATAACTGCAGAAAAAATACTACTGTTTCAAATAAATAAATAATAGGGCATCAGAGAAAGTTGGAAGGGGCTCTAAAGCCTAACAGCCTAACGGAAGGTCATAATAGGTACTTGAGGAAGATTGATATCATCTAACATAGTACATGTAGTTTCTACGATGAGGCAGAAGATAATCCCAAACTATTACTTAGTACTACACTACAGGAAATGCTTTGGGACTGCAGAAGAAAAACGACTACTAATGAACTCGTTGATGTGCTTTATTTGGGGGATACAATTGCTGTCAATGTGCTTAGTATGTCAACTTCCTCGAATTTTATATCTAGATCTATATTTTTCAACTTGGGAAAAAGTCGAACTGAAGGAGAAAAATAAATCGCTAACTCGACAATTATTTTTATTTTTATAGGTATATCACAGTTTGACGAAGCAATTTAATCGCATGGTTCAACTGAATCTTGAGCGGTATTACAGAACACGGAGAAACGGCCGTCAGTTCCAAGCAGTTCCAATTAATTTTATTTCCGCAAGCAGGTTTTTTCTCAAAAAGAGGTAATATTATGGCAGTTACAAGTTCTTTATATCACTTTCATATAGCTTGCTTTTTTTCAATGCACATATAAAAAAGTATAAAAATCAATTCGTCCTGTTTACCTTTACATTTTTGTCTGTTTTGAAATATAAAAAATTCCTTCTCAAAGGACATTCAATAACATCAAGACAACCATGATATTTTTGTCTAATACATATAAGCCTAATCGGATCGTTTTCTAGATTCTTTCAAGGAATATCAATTTAAACAAAGTGAATGTAATAGTTGTCCAGTGTGAGAAACGCTTCATATTCTTCATCGTATTGAGTTATTTTTAAAGCAAACATTTTGTATAATGTATATACGTCTTGGTAACTAGTTCACCCTTAAATAAAACATCCACTACGTTTGAAGTCTGACCAAAATGCTTTACGTATCAGCATGCATCCGACAGAAAGCCGAAATCAACCGGTTCTGCTGTCCTTTGCTGAAAGAATAAACATGCACATACGATAAGTTGCCGATATATAAAACACATGATAAAGATATACAGGGACATAATGAAATGTTGAACTTAAAACAAAAGTTTCCAGATAATTTTAAATACCAAACTTACTTAATATAAAGAAAAATGTGATCATCATCGTTTATATTTAATTTCATAACTTTTCCAAAATATCTGAATAGTATTGCTGTTTGTTTAAAATTAAGATTTTTTTGGTAGATCGATCGATATTGAATCTCCTTTTCCTCCTCTTCTGTCCATTTTTCAGACACAATTTTTTCGTGGAGGCCATGTCACATATCGAACGTTTTTCCTTATACTAAATATAGTTTTTGGTCAGATTTCCCTTAATCCCTGAGGGGTTAAGATTGGATTTACATTGTTCAAAATATTTACAAAATAAATTACTAAACCAGGAGAAAAAAATTCCTTAAGAGCTAAAGTCTTGAAGATTCTTGTTGTACTGGCCTCAAAAATTCTTTGAAACGACGTTTTAGTGAAATGGTATGACAATGGAGTTAGCGGTTACGGTGGCGCCGTCCTCCATTGCGATGCTTTCGTCATGGTCTCGAAGCGGTGTTGATCTGGCTTTCGGGACTCCTGCACATGAGCAAGTTTTTGTAAGCCTGCCTGTATTCCGAGCTCATGACAACGTAAATGATGGGGTTGATGCACGTCGTCAGATAGATAAGTATGTATCCGGCGATGTTCAACGCTCTCATTTCGATGGCATCACGATAGGTCTTGCTGAGCGTGATCGGGAGGTAGCAGGTGACGAAGGAGGCGAATATGACTAGAATCATTTTCAGAAGTTTCTTGTCTTTGGCCGTCATCTTACCAGGGACCGGAGGGGCGGAGCTGGGACGGCGAGGGCTGCCTTTGAAATGGCTAGTCCTTCTGAACACGGAAGCCATGTGCGAAAGAGTGGAATTGACGGCTGAAGGATGCCTCCGTTTTCCACGTCTTGGAGGTGATGTCGCCCTGGATGAAGAACACATGGAAGTGGGCGAAGCGCTCCTCGACGTCACCTCCTCTTCATTCACGCCCTCTTCTATCCCGGAAGAAGATGATGGTTCAGGGAGGACTTTGAGCTTATTGGGGGAGTTTCCGTAAGGGCTCAGCAGACGGGGACTAGGCGCTAAGGTGACCATTTTGATATTGACGTCGCTGGTGAGTTCGGTAGAACCGTTGTCCAAAAAGGTAGACGATTTTTCAGTTGAAAAAGATTGCGCCGTGCTCGACGTCCCGAATGCCGAATCGTCGGTCGAACTGGTATGGCACTTCCTCAGCAGTCTTACCTTACCGTAATACGGGCTTTTAGACGAGGCCATGACGCTAGAGCTAGCCGAGGCAGCATTTCGGCCGGTCACCCTCGACTTGAGTGCTGTTTTCCTGACTATGTAGAAAATCCGGGCGTAGCACACGACGATGCATATACAGGGTATCACGAAAGCAACGAGAAACAGGAACTCTTTCGGCGACCTGCCTGACGAGTCGGGAAGAATGGAGCACGAACCGATTCTTGGGTCCAGGCCGAACCTGCCCCATTTGCCAAACCATGTAGCTACCAAGGCGCCGAAACCGCATGCCCAAGTTGCCCCGACCATAAGTCCTAGGTATTGTTTTCGATACAACCTAGAACAATAAATATACCTTTAGTATGTACCTACATAAAAATAAAAAATTGTAAATATTTAGGTACTAGTACATAAACGTGCTTATAAATATATATATTTTTTAATTTAACTTAGGGGTTTATAGTGATGATTAGCAACCTGACCAGTTCTGTTGTGTATTCAGTCTACGTTTTGTACCTTTGAATTTGTACCATCTTTTTTGAATATTAGCACTTTCCTTAGTGCCTAACTATTAATTTATTTAGGCGTTGCTATTAATCTTAGTCTTTACAAAGTTCATAGTTGCACCGTTTCCATGCCAATACTGGATTATGATCTAGGACGTGTATCGTCCCTTCCTTAATCCCTTATATCTTTGCGCAATTTAGCTTTAATGCAGTTCAAAGAAGGCCTTTAAATTGGGGAAGACTAGTATGCTCCCGCTATACTTAAAAAAGAAAAAAATCTCTCCCTGTCTGTCTGTCTCTCTCACTCTCTCTCTCTCTCTCTCTCTCTCTCTCTCTCTCTCTCTCTCTCTCTCTCTCTCTCTATGCCTCTTTATCTCGTTTTCATTGCAACTTATTCCACTATCTTTCATCGATTTTCTGTTCTCACCACTAGAGTTTGCAAAGTGATAGATAAAAAAAAGAACATAATTTATTTTATAACAATGTAAAGAAGAAGACACACACGACGTACTCTGTGATTTGATTGAACAGTTATCGTTTTCATTGCTCCGAGGAGAATACCTGAAAACTGCGCATTATTGCCCATTATCACAGGGCTTAACAACTTAGGATACAATACCATCGGTTACGCAGATGTCCGGGTTACAATAAAGGAAGATTAGATTTATGTAGGAGTCGGCCTCTTTACGACCTGTGCACCCCAAACATGTTGGTCTATTGTGCATTTATAAAGAAACATTTGACGACACTGAAAGATGAGTAAGCAATGTGGTTTAAATATCAGTTTTACGAAAGGATCTATCATAAACTTCACAAGAAGAAGAAAGCTAAGCCTAAATCCACCCAATCTAAAAGATGAACCCATAATCTTTTCCGAAGAGACTTAGGTATAAGGGTTGACCAAAGGCTCAAGTGAAGATGTTGTATAGGAAACACTACATAAGATTGGAATTTGATTAAGGATTATGTAGCAAAAACTGGGGAATAAAACTCAGAATGGCGGATTGTTAATACACCACAACGGTCAGACTAGAAATACTAGTGGCCAAAACACTGCATAAGAAGACACAAAACAAACTACAAAGCACTCTCAACACGACATCCAATAATGACACATGTACACAGAAAACAAACACTTTGAGCGCTGAAGATGATCTCAATAAACATCGAAACGTTGGCACGATAAAGAAAATATTTTTCTAAAACCGAAGTCAAACCAGACCGCACCTCACGATCTCCAAATAATCACAGAATACAAAGTTCACAAACATTTTGACTTGTCTCACATGGAAACCGCACACGGATCTCCCACCTTGCACATTCACGTACAAAAGGTGCTTTCGAGAGTGCCAACAGACTCTGAAGAGAGCCATCACAAAATTCTGGATTAGACATAGCAAAATCCCTATTCCAACTATATTCTAAGCGCGTATCATACAAGCCAACGCTGTGTACATAAGTTGATAAAGAAGAAAATGAAATGTGCATGGATTAACTTTTGGTCAGACAGCTATAAAGGTTGTCAAAGCGTATGCTTTAAGCTCCAAATTAGTCCGAAAGAGCCTAAATTGCCTGATGCCCTTAGGACAACACAGCAAGGTTACCTTGAGGTGACTTGTGGGACACGAAGGACGGAAGAAACGAACAGGCAGATCATCAAACCAAACAAAAAGCAGTCCTCTCACCCACCGCTCAACCTCTGATGCACCAGGTATAAGGCAAGTTAAGAGATTCTTAGATTTCTCAAAATGGACGTTTTTAAAAAAGAAACCAGAGATATCAAATACATTTCTAGAAAAGTTACATATGTAGATATATGGAAAAAGATAAATAGATAGATGTAGAATCAGACAATGAATGAATGGATTTAGACAGATAGAGATAAGTAAAAGACTAAGAGTTAACTAGTTGCCATATTCTAGCAGTAATATTACTAATAATTATAAGAAATAATAAATTTTACAAAAAATAATTCACTTTTGACATTCCGTACAGCTTGACTTTTCACATTATTGTAACTATAATTATTCAGAAATCGTGAGATGCGGTCTGGTGAATAAGGCCACATCTCACGATTTCTGAATAATTATCGATTAACGGTCACTAATCACCACACATTGAACAAATAAAAAATTTCATTTGTAATTAAATTATTTTTAAATTTAAAATTTACCAAACAGTACTATTAAATTATGAATTAATAAACGATAATTAAAACAATCTATAATAAACCTAAGACAATAAACACGAGATACAGTTCGAAGAGTACAGTTAAGACTCGGAGCGTTGGCCATTGCTTCCAACGGGTTTCCGTAGTGTAGTGGTTATCACGTGTGCTTCACACGCACAAGGTCCCCGGTTCGATCCCGGGCGGAAACATTAACTTTTTTTTGCTTTTTTCGTGAAACTAAATTTTATTTTGGTCGTTTGTCTTTTTACCGATTTTAGTGCTATGCTTAATTACAACTTTTGGGTTCAATTTGTAATTTTTTCATTTTGCCTGTAAAAAAAAATCCGTTTTCCTTCTTTACTGTCATATACTGCAGGTGCTTTTTTGCATTATCAAAATAGATTTTATATTTTGTTTTATTGTCATATAGCGATAGACATTTTCTTTATTGCGCAATGAATTTTAATGTTGTTTTAAACTATTTTTAAAAATTGATTGTTTTATCTATATACATCTTTTTACATTCATAGCCTTAAAAACTTTATGATTTTTTTAACAATTTATTAGTATTAATTCTTACAGCTGGGAAGATTAAGAATAATATATTCTTCACATAACAATAGAATTTAGTGTTTTTAATATAATAGTTATTTTTAATTATTTGTAACAAAAATTCAATTAGTCATTTTATGCGGGGTAAGTTTAACTTCTGTTCCCCCTATATATTTTTGGGGAAAAACGCCGAGACACGTAAACTTGTAAACTTTTTTTCTCTAGTTTCTTGTGAACCAAAAAGTTTTTATCACATTAGTACAATATATCTGGTCTTATCCATCACATTTTTGAGACGCACTTTTGTGCCCAATAAATCCTTTAAATTTCCAGGATACAATAAATTCTTTAACAAATAATCTCATAATCTATCTATAACTCCCCCCCTCTCTCACTCTCTCTCTCTCTCTCTCTCTCTCTCTCTCTCTCTCTATATATATATATATATATATATATATATGTGTGTGTGTGTGTGTGTGTGTGTGTGTATTTTTCTTAATACATAATCCAGTTTACTTACTTTGGATACATAGTCGGGTGACCGATCATAACGTAACGGTTGAGCGTTATCGCCAGGACGGTGAAAAGTGATACGGCGAGCAAGCCGTATCGCAGAAGGGGGAAGAGTCTGCAAAGGAGGAGTCCGTGCCTCCAGGACTTCCTCCAGAAGGTCGAAGCAGCCAGCGGAAGGTTGAAGCAGCATGACATCAAATCGGAGACGGACAGATTTATTATGAAGACTGCTGTCGCATTCCGGACCTGGAATTTAAAAAGAAAAAGTATTTCACTATTGGTTTTGTCTATAAGCAAAATTAACCTTACAAATAAGTCATATAAATGATCCGTATTAATGTAACCCTCTCTTCTGTTCGGATTAATAAAAAAGGACCACACAATTTGAATTATTGCTTTATAATTTCGCTTCTACTCCCCAAAAATGAAAGGCAAAGAGAAATATACCGGAGGCAAACCAAATGTATTAAGCAAAATTTCTCTATACAAACTTAATATAATTTTTCTTCTGCTACCTCGAATGAAAATATCCATTAAAATTACACAAAACAAAATAAAATAATGTAAGATCCATCTGTATATAGATTTTTGGTCCAATTAACCCTTTTTAACTTAAAATTTGTCTTTTTTTTTAAATTTCAAATTAACCTTATTAATTTAAAATTTAACAGATTCTTTAAATCATTAAACAAACCTAGGAGATGATTATAAGCACGGAAAGTAAATTCCTGTGATTTGAATTTTTTAAAATATAAAATTACAATTAAAATTAAGCAACAATAAAGTATTTTTCTTTATTCTTTCTGAAATATAAAATAAATCCTATATAACATCACATGACAATAAATTACGATTTAGATTAAGTTATATACAAATGAATATAAATGTAAAACGTGTTCTTCTATTAATTTGAGAATTAAGAAACAAAATTGGTGGTTATCAAAAAGGACACGTGAAATTAATTAATTCCAATTAAAATTAAACGTTTAAAATTAAAAAGGAAAACAGAATTCTTCTATTTATTAGAGTACTAATATTTATTTTTTTCTTCTTATTCTATTTAATTTTACATACTGTTTAATTTAAATTGTAATTAATATTCGTGTGGTTTTTAGAGGTCTAATTATTTTATATTTAAAATATATCAATTTAAAGGAAGAATCTTTTATGTTTATATTTAATTTTATATAATTTTTCATTTCAATTGCAATTAAATTTAATATGATTTTTAGATGCCCAATTATTGTATATTTAAAAAAAATTCAAATCAAAAGAATAACCCTTTATTTTTAGATTTAATTTTATATAATTTTTTATTTTAATTGAATTAATTTTCATATGTTTAAAAAATCTCAAATATCTAGGAACTGTACTTTAACATGCTTATATTTCATACCATCTCCTAAGTTTTTAAATATTTTAAATAGTTTTTAGTTTATTTTTATTTTTACTAGGGTTCTCTAACAGCAGGTCAGAGGTCACCTTCGGGGTGTCGGTGTTTGCGAAAGAAAAGCCCATTTGGAAATAGTAGGGTTCGAAAGCAGGGCCGCTGGATTCGAACCCCGCACCTTTACTTTACAGAGACGAGCGCCGTGTTAACGCCTCTCTGAAAATACTTTAAATAAAGGGTTAGTTTTAGATTTTTAATTTTTCATCTTCTTAGTTTTTAAATGAAAAAAAGGTTAATTTTTAAACTTAAAAAGGACTCTCAGTTAAAGATATGATATTTTACAATATTTTGCTTTTATTTTACATAAACTAAATATTTATAGTTTAATGTCTTTTCCTTTTCGATTGATCACTCGAAAAATACATAAAAAAAGCAACTTTATAGTCAAAACTGTACAATGTTTTAGGTTAAACCGACAGAATGACTGGGAGAAGGCACGAGTAAGGCACGGATATTTTGGGATTAGGGATTTTATACTATTTTAAAGAAATGCTGATTAAGTTGATGGGCGGGCGTCTGGACCCGCTAGACTTTGCTGACGTCGTTCTGAGAGGCATCTGGTTGCTTCATAACTTGGATTCCTATGAGCCGAAGGTGGAACTGAGCACCCTGTACCATGCATATTGTACCCACTATCTAGTCCAATTTTGGTGCCGCTTTGTTCTTTCACACTCGGGCCACTCGGCTACCATTACTTGTTTCGCAATTAGATCCTTTTTTCCGTTAAGTTAAATGAACTCTATGACTTAAGGGAATGATGTTTTCTGCCGTTAACCTCTTTTCTCATGTTTTACGCTTCTCAGGTGGCATAATTTTAAGGAGCGTTATTTTCCCAGTGGAGAAACAATTTCGAAGTGTATTTTCCTCTGGTGTCGAAGATCGTTTTTAGTAAAGAGTCAGAGTCAGATTGGGTCGAAGGGACGAGTCACCTTATATCCATCAAGGGTTAAGCAAATGGGACAATGGGGATTACTCTCTCTTGGATATCTCGGCTCTGTCCAATATTCCCTTTCCCTCGGCCATTGATTCTTCCTCTCGGAAAGTAAGCGCTCACTAAACCGTCGGCTTTACTGACGGGAAAAACACGCTCCCTTTCTGGAAACGATTGTCTCGGAGGAGGAGCCACGCCTCCCCTTCTGTCGACGGGGAACCGGCTCTGGCAATTTCCTTATCTGACTTCCTTACGAAATCTAGTCACAAATTTCATATTTTATGCGAAACTACGCCTATCTGTTTACCCTGCGGACGTCGACGAGGAAAAATGCTTGGCCCCTATCGGGTTCTTTTCTTGTTTTGAATTCGGCGAGAGTACGACATTCTTAATTTTGTCACTTATAACTTTCTTTAGTTCATTCATGTAAGAATCAACTATTGGACAATATAAATCAACCAACAGGTAGAAACTTGCTAAAAAAGATAATAATGTTCTTATAAGGAATCGTAAATCAAAGGTCACAACCAGTTCCAAGGTAATCAAAACAGTCCTGTCTTCATGTATTTTTCTTTCCACTAGACAAAAAAAAAGAAAAAAAAGGGCCCTTTTATACTGCAATTCATTTCATAATTTACTTTAAAGAAAATCAAAATATCTTCAAAGCCATAAACTGTGTGAGTCAAATAGGTTTCGAAATTGCATCTCAAATTGTGCTAAAGATTTATAGTTGGTTAATAACATAAATAAAGATTATGGTAAAAAGATTAAAAATAATATTACAAATCAATGTCAACGATTCGAAGGAATTTTGGCTTTTCTTTATGCACTAAAACAAAAAAAGGATTAAGCTCGTAAACCACATTATTTTCGAGAAAAACCCGAAAAATCTTTATTGTGTTTTTCGATGTAAAACGACCTGCTGGGTCGATTGGAACGAGAATTAGGCTTGTAAACCATGTAGTTTTCGAGAAAAACACAAAAAATTAAAGAAAAAAATATTTTTTTTAATCGTCTTATTCGATATAAAACGACGATTGGAACCAGAATGAATCCCGTAAACTACGCACTTTTCAACAGAAACTTAAAAAATCGAACAAAAAAGTTTTTTTTTTAAATTGTCTTATTCGATGAAAAACGACCTGCTGGGTCGATTAAAACAAGAATAAAGTCGTAAACCAAGTAGTTTTCGAGAAATACGGAAAAAAGAACCTTTTTGTCTTATTCGATGTAAAACGACCTGCTGGGTCGATTGGAACCAAAATGAATCTCGTAAAACATGCAGTTTTCCAGAACAACGCAAAAAAAGATTTTTAAAAAATTATCTTATCCGATTTAAAACGACCTTTTGGGTAATAGGGTCGATAATAAGCGCGAAACTTGGAACCAAAATGAATCTCGTAAAACATGCAGTTTTCCAGAAAAACGCAAAAAAAAGATTTTTTAAAAATTATCTTATCCGATTTAAAACGACCTTTTGGGTAATAGGGTCGATAATAAGCGCGAAACTTGGTGGCTACTTCTATCGTTCTTATTAGAAGTGAAAGAGATGTAGCGACTCTTTCGAGGTATCCTTATCCTTCGGTAGGTGCTATTTGTATACTATGATGACCAAGTTTCGCGCTTATTATCCGACATGGTAGTCAAAGCGTCTGTACGCTTTCTGTGCACGGTCATTTCAAGGTGTAGTCAAAAGCGCCATCCATGTCGATGATGGAGAGCTATTTCTTCATATGTTCTACAAATTTGTCCAGTGCAGTCTCGTTAGGATTTCTCTTGGTCCTTTCGTAAACATGTTGTTGGTCATGGAGGTTTTCCCCCAAGATGATTACTCTTTATCTCTTGTCCTAAATTTTCTTGTTTGACAATGAAAGTCAGACTCATTGGCCGTCTTAATTTTTTCTATATCAGAAGTTTCTGTGCTGTATATTTCACCAAAAAGTTGATTAATCGAATAAAATTGCTGCTACTTTTCACTACGCTTACTATTCAGTATGCTATTATACTGATTATAATGTCAACTTAGATCCTTAGTTAATAAAATTCAATAAAACCTTAATGTAGGTTAATATTGAAAGCACTTTAGTCGAACTGGTTTTCGTGTTGCTGGATGGTACTTGGTATCCAAGGAGTGGTGGTTTCATGATTCCTGACTTTTCCGAAAAATAAAGAGCCTCACTCCCTACTGATTTTGTCAGAGGAGGAGACCATTTTTATATTATTGAGTAATTATCGCCAGAGAAATATAAGATCTTTTAAACTGCAAAATAGCAGGCTATAGATATATCCTACCTTTACAAAATCTGCTCAAATTGCTCGAAATATAAAATGGGCCCATTATAACTGAACGAAAGATAATAAAATTTTTGTTTATTTATCCCCTGGGTTTAATCTCCTTTATACAATATGAATCTCATGATATTTTGTGCCAATGTTTCATAGTAACCTTGGTAGACACATTATCATTACTGCATAAAGTTTACTGATATCTTGAAAAATTCAATAAAATCAAAATAATAATTTGCTTCAACTAAAAACAGAAAGATAATTTGTAAATTGTTAATTGTATTTGTATTTTAAGTTAATTGTAACTATTTTATGAATGCATACTTAAAATAAGTTCCCAACACCATTTTGTACAAAAAATCTAATTCTTAAACAAAATAAATATTTTTATGTATTCCCCACTTCAGTGTACTGAACAGTAGAATTGCTACATTTTTGAACAATTTCAACTATTATATGATCCTCTGTTATGGAATGCGGTGTGTAGATGGTTTTACATGCAAATAAAATAATAACAGAATCTACATCCAATTTTCCAACAAACTAATTTTCTTCCGGTAATGAAGGGCTTTAACATGA